GGGGGGGGGGGGGGGGGGGGGGGGGGGGGGGGGGGGGGGGGGGGGGGGTCAATACTATAGTGGGCCCACCACACTCGATACCACGTGGGCGTCACGCGGAAAGCGGGAGTGGGGACAGCCAAAAAGTCCTCCGGGATGGGAATCTCGGGGCATCCTCTTGACCCCTGTCTGTAGAGCCAGAAAAAGCTGCTCCAATCAGAGCGGTAGGATGCGCAATTCTAGGTGCTGGCCCTCAAACGCTTTGTGCCCCGGGGATGGAGATCATACATCCCCGGGGTTTCAGGGACACGTAGTCCTCGCCCCGTGACTGACATGCCTTCTCCAGGAATGAAAGCGACATGTTACCCCCACCACCCCCTTGCGACAACATATCTATCCATAGAAGTACGTTCTTCTTTTCTGATGCTTCCGTCCGGATAGGCCCTTTCCCCCGTGGTCGGTGAGAGGATCATTACCGCTGCGGAAAACAGCGGCCGTGGAAAGCTACAGCGGGGTCACGACAGCAAGGTATGGTGTGTGAATTGGAGGAGCTGGGGTTTCGGGAGGAGAGGAGGGCGGGGGTGTGGGAGGATGTTCCCACAAAAATGATGCTAAGGTAGTCTTGTTGTCAGCCATGCCCGCGGCAACACAACAAAACTACTCACAGAAGACGGACACTCGCCGCCCCAGCACCAGGTTATCCGCCAGCAGATACACGACGATCACGCCGTAGCTCGCCAGGGTGATGGTCATGTACAGCAGCGTGCGCTTCATCGTTTCGTACTCGTTGAACTGCTTCCGGACCCACTTGAGCTGGCGGGCGCACACGAACCTGGTCGTTCGACAAAGTCACCCGTACCGCATCACGGGCGGCGGCGGAATCGATCTCATCAAGTGAATTTGGCGGCGGCCAGCAAGAACGACCAAAAGCTGGCGAACGCACAATGCTTGCTAGGGATCAAATGCCAAATACCTCACCTACGCAGCAGCCACGAAACGTTCACCACCTCGATCACCACCTCGATCACCATATCCATATCCATAGCAATAGCAATAGCAATAGCAACTCTAAAATGGGCCACCACTCCCCCTCTGTGGGGCCGCAACCGTTGCTATGTTATGTAGGATTTTCAAATGGATCTTCACTTGAGCACCTGCTCCTTAGTCAAGTCCTCAAGTTTTCAAACCCGTTACCAGCTAGGGTTTCGTTGCACTCCCAAGCTCTTCAAGCGCTGGGGCGGACTGTCTGAACCGCCAACAACATCAGCAACAAACACACAAAAAAAACACACACACCCACGGCAGCTATGCAGTAGCTGTTGACCTGCCGTCCTCACCAAAGGTAGCAGATGGCGAGGAAACCCAGCGCGTCCATCCCAAGCACGACGATGGTGGAGAAAGTCGTCGTGGAACACGTGTTGGCCACCTCGTCGAAGTAGCCGGTGTGGGGAACCGCCCACGTCGCCACTACGGGAATGAGGCTCAGGCTTGACATGAACAGGATCTGATGCCTGCCGTTGTTTCAGAACAACAATAAGAGAAAAAACACGCAGAACGAAGCAAAGGAGAAGACCTACGAGCGTGGGGGCGGAGGCTACTCGTCCTGGCGTTTGCGTGGCCAGAAAATAACCAACACGACGCAACCAACTGTACGAGTTTCGCTTCGGGAGCGGCACACGCACAGTTTATCAGGGGCATGAGGGATCGATTAAATAGTCAGATGCGGTCGACTCACAATTTTCTTCAATTCTCGGCATACCAGGTACACACCAAATAGGAGAGTCAACCCTGGTATGTTTTGTACTCTCGTCGGATATCTGTACTTCCGAGTGAACAGGCAGACGCCACAGAGGACTGACTAACCCTGTGTGCCACATCTGGTCGTCATGCTTGATGAGGATCCTCCACATCCGGTACACCCGGATGAAGAACGCCACCGTGTGGACGCACAGCGTTGACCACGAGAGAAATCTCTGAGGGACCACGCACGACGGCGACGATGGCAGGCATGATCACGGCATCACGCAACAGAAGCGTAGCAGCAGCAGCAACAACAACAAAAACAGCAGCAGCAGCGGCGGTGTTGACGGCAGAAAAAGACACCGGTGGAGAGCGGGTTAACGACGAACGATCCCTGCAAAAGCGGAATGGTGCCAAGAACGAGAAGGACACGGCGCGTCTCTCCATCCTTCGTCATGGCTGCATAAAACGATCCATGGCAAGGCAACCAAGATCCCTACTGCGGCAGCTAAGAATGACAGGCGGCAAGGGCAAGGGTGCATGTAGCACAGCCTCGAGGGGTGAGCCATGCCCATCTAAATCAAACAAAGAACATTCACCAGAACCACGCTCTTACATGATACCCGGGATACGCAGAACGAGACGGCACATTGCGAGCCACGCAAAAAAACACCATGTCAGAACCAAAGAACATGCCGACATTCACGTACCAAAAAAAGAGCTTTTTCTTCGTTGAATCTGGCGTACCTCAAAGTCGCAGGCTGCCAGGATATCCCCTGCTTCCCGCCTGATATAGCCGCTTGCAATGATCATAGCGACATTCCATAGCACCCCCGAGAATGTCTGCGAAACGAAACGAAAGAGAGCAGAACAGCCCCGAACCAAGAAGAGACGCGAAGACACCACGAAAAAGAATTGGTAAGGAAATACGGGCACCAGTCGTTCAGTCGAGCAGACAAGATACACGCGGGTTGCGGCGACGTGCGTGTGCACGGGGACAAGAACAAGAACAAGAACAAGAACAAGAACAAGAAAACTCGTCTAAAGTAGGCATCAACATGCCAGGCAGCACATGATTAACGGACCAAGAGGGAGAGAGAAAGGCTGAAGAACCACCACACCAATGGAATCGCCATCTGCACCATCAGAGTGGTACATACTGACCTGGTCGCCCCGGTTGTCTAGTGGGTAACCTCGCAGCCTGCTAAGGGCCAGGTCATGGGTTCGAGTCCCGGCAGAGTGAGTGTTTTTCTCATTAAATAAATCCTGGTCTAGGATGAAAGCGATGCGTTGCAAAGCTCGTTACTAGTAAACCATGATCGACTTCGCAAGTCACGAGGGAAGGGATTGCTTTCCCTTCTCGCGATAAAAATACCTCAGGCAGGAACCGCAGGAGGGGGTCCAGCCCCCCCCTCCTATGTGACCCCGGTTGGGTCGTCTAGCTAGCAGAAGTGGAGGATAGGGGCCAGAGGGGCAGACGATAGTGTCCAATGATGGGAGAAAGAACAAAATATATACTGCAAACCGCTTCACAACTCCCGGCTTCGACGGCCATGCCCGCGGCAAAGTTCTGCCCCCTCCACCCACCCCGGCAGTACTAACCGAGATGATGACAACGTCAACGTTCTTGGTGACGTAGGGAGGCCACTTTCGCCACCGCAGCAGGTGCGCGCAGACCAAGAGAGCCACCGTCTGGAAGGTGGCCACGAACCCGAGCACCCAGAAGTCCGGGGTGGAAAGGGGCTCCCATACCTCGTCCTCGGCCATCGTCTGTTGTTTGTTTGCCTTGATAGCCCCCCCCCCCTCTCCTTCTTGCGTCACCCCTGTATCCTTGATCGGGACTGTGTGTCGATTTCGAGAGGCGCAACATGCAGATAGGTACCAGGGGCGAAAACAGAAAACGGTTGGTAATTTCAAGAGCAGGTGTGGTACCCGGTTGCGGTGCAAATCATGCTACGCCGCGGGGCCGTAGCCCGCTTCGAATCGTACGGGTGCAAAACTCGTGGCAGGAGGTGTGCGGGCAACACGCGCAGCACAGGATCACACAGCATATGCTAGTAGGATCGAGAGCAGCAGCCGCACGCTGCACAAGAGGAAGCCAAACAGCAGGCAGTTCTCCGGGTGCGGTCGCTATGCTGGAGGAGTGTCCCCACCCCCCCACACCCCCCAGGCCCCCTTCACAAGGGCGAATGAAGAAAAGGAAACTACTTGGATGGGTGTACATACCTACATTGCCGGCACTCAGACTTGTACTGATGGCACGCGACGCACCGATCTCATCGTTTCTTGTAATCATACCGTGTCTTTTTTGATACATCTATATATTCGCACCCCGGATGGGTGCGAGAGCGCCAATGCTGGTGCAGAAATCCACATCGCTCCGTTCTACAGTATGCAGCTTTTCGAAGGGTGGGACGCCGAGGAACACACAGCGGCCTCACTGGTGCTTAAAAAAAACACGACGAAAGTGTTGAACACCCGGCAGTCCGATGCGATGACACCGATAGGAGCGACACTTGAGCATCACCAAGCAATATCGGCTTACTTGGTACCACAACACCAGACCTACGTACGGGGCAGGGCACACACCGCTACAGCTCAGAAGGTGGACCGCAACCACGTTGCGGAGTGTATGTAGCACGAAATCTTCCGCCCGAACAAGGGCTACGCCGATCGATAACATTTTTACTAGGAAAAATGTATGAACAGGCAGAGAGACTACGCGAGATACAACCACAGTTGAAGGGGATGTGTTGAAGTCTTTGCAGTGAGTGGAGGGAAACCGGCTGGGTACTGTGCTTATTTCGAGTCTGTTTTAAGCCAAAACACTGACGATTACTTCCAGTGATACCAGCTGGTGCTGAGCACAAAAACGTCTGAATACATTGAAGGCAACATACATTTTAAAATGCGGAAGTCGAGGATAGTTGCGGGCCTTGTGCAAGTGCCGTTTTGAGCATGCCTGGTACAGGAGCGCCCGTTTATTTGGCTCTCACCGGGCACGCGGACTGAATCGCCAAATCTTCCGCACTTTGAATCGTGCCGGTGTCCGGAAAAGTGGTAGTCTCTCTGTGTGTGTATATATTTTTCCGAAAAGGGCCAGTGAAGTCTCTGGTACTGCTGATGTTGCTATATACTGGCGCTAGACAGCCCCCCGGGGACTTGTTTCGACGGCGGGGGCGAATACCCCCACCGCGGCGTCCACGCGCACGAGGTGTATTTATAATAAATCTAGCAGATAGCAGCGACCGCGCCAAAACAGACTTGGCTGACCGGTGAGAAAGCCAGAGTGTTCCGTGGCGTCCGAGGGAAAAAACGCACCTGGAAGCAGTTTGCTTCCTAGATTACATGTGGAAAAAACATTCGATACACCCACACGCATATAAGCCATGCACCCGCACCTCTTTCTTCCGACGGAACCACCCATCCAAGAGCGACCTAGGCCCACACAACCTAGCACCAACCCAGGACAACACCAACATAGCACATATCCGAGCAATACCAACCTAGAGATTATCTCATCAATTCCAACCTAGCGCCAATGCCGGCACAGCAACCTAGAACTGAGCCACCCAGCACCAACCTAGCCCCAATGCAGGCACAACAACCTAGAACTGAGCCACCCAACGTCAACCTAGCACCTGTTGAGTGGATTTGGGGTTAGGGTTAGGGTTAGCGCTAGGGATTTAGTCTAGCCGGTTTCGTGTCAGTTGCTGGTTGGAGGGACAGACAACTGCGCCGCCTGCCTGTATAGTAGTAGTTTTGGCACATATAGTCATAAATTGCAAACAAAAATGTTAACCGCCAGAGGGGCGCAGAAGTTAGAACAACAGGTGTGGTGTTTCGAAATTGCAAGAGAGAGAAAAATAACACCAAGCAGCATCTGCGTTGCTGCTGCATCATTTTTTTCTCCCACAGAGTGACGTTGGCTGCGATTCCGCCGCACTTTTTGAGGGTAGGGGACAAGACAATCGGAAAATGAGAAAGCCTCAAGAACCTCCATGAAACCGTCGAGAAAACCAACGGGAGTGAGACACCATCCACGCGGAGGTCAACAGCTCGGTGCACTGAGGCTAAGCAGAGATGGTGGACTTCGCATCTGCTGCTGATAGGTGAGTAAGAGAGTTGTGGCCCAGGGTTGCGGCGTGATTGCGCTTCGGCTGCTAAGTCTCGGCGGTGCAAAAAGTGCCTACAGCGTGCGCTGAATTTGGGCCGACTTTGTTGAAAATATTATTAATTTAAAACGTAGATTGCCTAGATCCGCCGCACCGGCCTGTCACTGGGCGGTCTGCTGGTGTCACGTGTCTCCCCTCGCCCCTCCCCCCCTCCCCCATCCCCCCTCTCTGCACCATATTCGTACACCCGGCTATCCCTCACACTACGCCCGTGCAGAAATACGTTGCCTCAGCGTTGTAAAAGCGTGGTCATGTGCTGAGAAAACCAGCACCACCTCCAGCAACTTGCTGCTCCAACTTTACCGAGGTTGCATCAGCCATTGCACGCCTGGTCCGATCCTCATAAGCTCGACTGCAAGACAGGAAAAGCAGTTGCGGTGCCAAAAATGTCTGCGTTGGAACTGTCTCGTCGACAGCTTTCCTACAACACATCCTTTGATTTCAGCATTCTCTTCGTCGCGGAGTACTGGAGCTTTGAAAATCGTCGCACGGGTGTGGTATCTTCAACAACCTACGGTAGCTGAGAGAGAGAGGGCAGTCGGGAGGGCGACACCTTCCTCAACAGCAGTTCTTTAGACCAGAGGCACTGCGGAGAAATATTTCGAGAACTCGGGGATGCTACGCATTGTACTGCTGTGTGGTCAAATTGGGCGCCATGGGTTGGTTGAGTGAAACTAATCATCGCCAGCTCTACTGACGGCAAAAAATATGTTCTTCACTGCTCCTGCGCGTACCCATTCACCTGCTGATAGGTTGTACCACCGACTGCATTTTATCAGGCGCGAGAGGGATTATCGAGCAGGAATGGATCCTGGAGAGAGTGGGGCGGGCGGCCTAAGGAGGGCAATGAACAGGAATGCGCTGGCGGAGGGAGGCAAGCATACCGAGTGTCGCTTGTGTGTGTGCCTGCTGTGTGTGTCAATGTTTTTCAGAGTTTGCACTTGAACACATGTATATGCAGTAGTTCCAGTGCAAGCTACACACACAACTTGGGAAGATACAGTAGCTGTCGCTACAACGAGCGACAGCTGATAGATGCAACTGTCGTCAGACGTGTGCGTCCACGGGAGGAAGTGCGTGTGATTGCGAGGGGCATCGCTGGTGGAAGACAGCCGATATTTGTTGACGTTTTTTTTTCGCATTGACTTGTCATGTGGCCTCTGGCTTGTTGTGTCTCCTGCCGGGGCCTCGCAGCGTCTCTTTCACGGTAGCCGTCAGGAACCTGTCCTCTCTCGCTTATTGTGTCTCCCGGGCGCCTCGCAGCGTCTCTTTCACAGTTAGTCGCCAATTGCTGTGGTGTCTGTTGTTTGCGCCTCGCAGCGTCTCTCTCTCGGTTAGCCGCCTGCTGTTTTGGTGTCCGCGGCTGCCCTCGCTGTGACGCCTAGCGGCGGCTCTCTGCCGGTCGGCCCGCAGCCATTCTGCCCGTGCTCCATCGGTCTCCCTCGCGCGCCTGGCGGCAGCCCTCTGACGAGCTTCACCTCTCGCCCGGTCAAGCTGTGGGCTGACGAGGAACTCCCTCTCCCCCCGGCCTTGTCTGCGCCGGGAGTCTGTGTGCTCCTCTGCCTCACGGACGGAGTTCGGGTCGACCGACCGCAACGGACGTCTATTCAGTCAATTGCTAGTGTGCGACCTGTCCCTTCCGTGCTACAAGAAACTCATCGCACACGCTTTTGAGTTGCCAGCTCGAACAAAAGCAGATAGGCACAGCAAAAGAGCAAGACTTGTTTTTTTCTTCCAGCTGCTGATGATGATCCCTCCCCGAGCTGAAAGTATCGGGTATCAGAAAGTATTGCCGATCCGCAAGACACGCCAGGGTTAGCCGGTATCATCACCTTGCCGTGGCACATCCTCTAAAGATTCAAGCTTCTCATATCGGCTGCACCGACTTTCTTGGTTCTTGCGCCCGCCATCCGCCATCCATAGGAAAGCTTTCATCGGGGTGGTGTCGTCGGGCTGCAATATGGATACGAGCAGGCTTTTGGCCGATGCTGGTGCAGTGTTTGGGCGGGATGGCGCGCGCGCACAAGGGGTGGGGGGCGTATCGCCATGCACCTATCGTTTAAGGGACGGCCGGGCACTGTATGCCCGGAGACATGGGAGTGGCCAACAAAGCAGTGTTTGAGGTCGTCAGCTGTATTTGTACAGGTATTGAGGTGTGCATTGTTGGAGGATGGGTTTTGTCTCCTTCCTTTTCCCTGTACTCGCCATCCCGGCAGAAATTTAACGGGACTCTGCTTTTCTTACTTTTTTGGAATGCACGTTTTCGTGACGCTGTGTGTTCGACGTTCATTGTTGGAGGTTGGGTTTTGTCCCATTCCTTTCCCTATATTCGCCAGCCCGGCAGAAATTATCCGGAATCTGTATTTTTCTTTGTATGCATGTTTTCGTGACGTTGCGTGTTCGACGTGCACTATTGGAAGTTGGGTTTTGTTCCCTTCGTTTTCCCGGTTCTCGCCATCCCGGCAGAAATTTAACGGGACTCTGCTTTTCTTACTTTTTTGGAATGCATGTTTTCGCGACGCTGTGTGTTCGACGTTCATTGTTGGAGGTTGGGTTTTGTCCCATTCCTTTCCCTATATTCGCCAGCCCGGCCGAAATTATCCGGAATCTGTATTTTTCTTTGTAGGCATGTTTTCGTGACGTTGCGTGTTCGACGTGCACTATTGGAGGTTGGGTTTTGTTCCCTTCGTTTTCCCGTTTCTCGCCAGCCCGGCAGAAATTTAACGGGACTCTGTTTTTTTGTTGGCTTTGGAATGCATTCTTTCGTGATGCTGCATGTTCGACGTTGATTGTTGGAGGTTGGGGTCCGCTCCCTTCCTTAATACCCTCCTTGTTTGAAGTCATATTTTGCATGTTCCGTAAGCCTTCACCAGGCAGCCCACCCGACTATGGCACACACACGTACCGAGGGATCTCTCGAGACAGACCCGTGTAACTCCTACACATGGTTTGGCATCACAAGCACCCCGTTGCGTTCTCATAGGTATATGGGCGCAACAAAAAAAACATACCAACACACTGACATCTCGGGCGGAAAATCCACGGAAAAACTGTTGCGTTTGTGCTGCCACTCCACCGCGCGCAATTCATTATTGGGCCGCCACCCGGTTATACATACACACACACGTCGCTGACCTAACCCACGTTCTTGGGCCAAAAAAGTTCCTTCGACAGTGTCTCTAAGAAACCGAAGAAGGGCAACTGGGGAAGCTTTTTCTTTCGCACAAAAAAACAAAACAAAATATACTTGCCCTTGTAGGAGGGGGGCAGGGGGTTGGGGAGATACTGCCGACGAACGGTACCTACCAAGTGGGAACCAGTCCTCAGCACGCACCCACACATCAGCAACACGAGCAGACCCCCGGTTCAGTAGCCCCCAGCAAAAAAGAAACGCCTGTCTGGCGGGTTGGTCGTCGCCTACCTCACGACGCCAAACAAACCACGCCTCTGTGAAACAACACTGACGCCCACGGTACGTCGCGCGGGGCAGAACCACTATTGCGCTTGGCGGGATATCTTTTAGCCATTCCGCGCGTTTTCGTGGGCTCCAAGAGAAAAAGCCCAAGCTTAAACGCTACACCCACATGTGCAACCAGTAGCGCCTGTGCCAAGATGCAAAATGCGTTGCCATACGGGGGGCTTGGGACAATCCAGCCAGGCCTCCGCCCGTCCTCGCTAAACACCGCCTTGAACTCCTCCGAAGCCGCGTCAACGTGGGTGTCCGCCGTTAATCTGACAGCCAGAAAATAGACAAGGAGGACGCGTTTCAACACGGGGGGGGGTTTACGTCTTGCACCATGCTCTGCTTTCCGCCGAAACCGCCATCCTCCCGCGAGACGGGCAAGCGACTTTTCATGGAATGTATCTGCGAAGTATTATTGAGGTTTTTGAGTCACGCACATGTCATTGACTCAATGAATTATATCACAGTTTCTTTTGCCCCCCCCTCTCCGGTGTTTGCCATCGGGGTTGGGTTTTCGTCGCTTGGCAACGGCGTTGTAAAACAAGCCAATTCACTTCGTGAACTCGGCAACCAGGTTACCGTTTTTTTTTTTATTTCTTTTTTTTTGGCGGTAACCATAATGGTGGTCGAGTAGATCATGTTCTGCTGGGTGGAGAACCCTAACTCCGCGCGAGGGGGATGATTGCACCACGTTGTGTTAAAATGGTCAAGCACCCTCGAGGTAGTTACACAGTGCTTACAACTGTCTCAGGAAGTGAAAGGACCAGAAAATATATTAATTCATACGCAGCTGTCATCCGTACGCAAGGAAGTAAGCACAAGATGCCGAACACCCTTAGCAGGATGCAGCGCACCCTTCATGCGACTCGCCGAATATCTCACGGCGCTTCGCGCTTGGTGATGTGAGAGCCTGGTCCGGTGAGAACCCGGCGTGCTCCGTCCCGGCTTTGTAGGGATGCGAGGTCAATGGTCTAACGACTACGGCATGCACGACTATGAGTACCCTTGCCGTGATGCAGTTCTACAGGTGCGCCACCGCAAATGGTCGAGGGGGATTTGTTGTGATGGAGGCAGCACGTCAACTGTCAACGCTAGCTCAAACCCAAATGCCATTCCCAATTAAGTGCAGCTACTTGACGCTACTCACTTGCAATTGAGGTCGTTGGTAGATACATGAAGCCCAGTATCTTTCAGGACCCTGGACAGGGTACCACTAGCCGCTCCGCACGCATCCAGCACCCCACCCTCCAAGCTGACATGCGAGCGAAGAGCTTGCACCTGCGCGAAATGACACAGCAGAGGGAGGACGGGTGATGTCTCCAGTCCAGTGATACTGCATGCCGTTCACGTACTTGTGTAGCCATAGACTTCGACTTCGAATAGGCATGCCAGAAGTAATGCATACGAAAAACAAAGATCCTAAAAGTGCAACAAATAATTTACACCTACACATAAAAGGCTGAGGTAGCACGCATGAAAGGTAGGAAAGAACTAGGATATGCTTGTGTTCCCGAATGAGCGCATCATGAAAACATGCACAGCAAAAAACGACTACAATGGGTGTGAATAAAACTGTTCGAGGCAACACCGACAGTGACTCCGAGTACCCAAAGCAAAAAACAAAACCAGCGTCGAGCAGGTCAGCATGTGCCTTTCCCAATGCACTGAACGAGATACACACACTTCCAAGTGGGGTACTATCTGAAACGAAAACCAGTCGTGTTTAAGTTTGTGTACGCATCTTTTTAATTGAAATGACCACACAACAGGCCGAGCCGGGGTCAACTTTTAGCGAAACTGAAGGCGTGGTGATCCAGCGTTGACCCTTCAAAGCCGACTACACCCACTGGCCAGCCACACAGCAGTATGTATCTGTCTTCGTGGTTATTCAAAGCTTTGTCAAACAACGGCATAAGCACGTATGCACATGCCAGCGTGAAACTCTCCGTCGGTGCTACGAGCACGGGTTGATCATAACGCTATTACATACACGTTCGCTACAGCAGCTGCCGACAACAGCGCGCAGGCTGAGGTGAAATTGTACACTGAAACTCAGAAAGATATCTACACCCAAAGCCAGGAGTTGTACACCACAGCAAGCTCGTCTGCACCATGTCTCACCTGTGTTCTTGTCGACGGGTAACGGCCCATCGGAGATGACTGGCCCCTCACTACCGTATCCCATGAGCCCTTCTCGTTCTTCGTCGACTGCAAGCGAAACATGGAAAACATGTTGAACACACAGTCCACAGGAGTGCACAAACACTCGCCAACTGTGAGCGGGTCCCTCCGCAAATCTCGGCTGTGCACCCATGCCTCGCCAACTTCGGCACTCCACTGGCAATTGTCGACCAGAAAGGCCCAGTACCAACGTGCTTCCATGATCTCGAGGTCCGTCGCTGCAACCTGGCCTATACATGTAACAGGCGAAACACACAGGCGGGCCACCGCAAGTACTGACCCTACCATGCGTGGTTCGTCCGCATATGGCAAGCGGCAGAATTGCCAAAATGGCGGGAAAACACGTACCAACAGCCTATTTCCCACTTCAGATTTCTCTGCGGATGTACGCTAAGCGGACGCAAATCTTCAAGCTCCACAAAGTCAAGGGTCGATACCCTCGTTTACCCTCCTCGGTAGCGCGCGGGTGGTGTTTGGCGGCTAACGCTGTGCACTCAGATCCAGGCAGGTCAGACTTCAACGATATTCAGCTCAGATCAGTTCAGCAGCCGTGCACGCCCAAATACAACCGAACACTGCCCATAACACCACTCGGCCGTACAGGAGATGGTGCAGAGCAGTGATCGGAGTGTCGAAGGTGGTTGTTGTTGTTGTTTTTCTTCTCATTAAACTCGTGTCAGTTGCTAATCCCAAAATCTAGCAAAATACTCGGTCCGTGGTCACAAAAATGCCACACCCATCAAAACATCTGAAGAGCACACACACTATTAGCAAGAAAAGGGTACGCAAGCCCGAGGAGGTACACCTACCATCCCTGCAGCACGTTTGCATGCTCACAACTGAACTACAGGCCCACACACTACCAATCGACTATAGCAGCAGCATCACCCCCCTTGTCCCGCATTTAATCAAAATGAATGTTTGTCGGCTACAGCGTACTGCTGTCTGAAGTGCTGTCTGTACAATAATAACACCATGGTGCATGGTACACAAGCTCGGAGCATGCAGCTGCTGTCTGAAGTGCTGTCAGAATGAGTCCGTGGACATACAATGAAAAAGAACACCCGACCAAAGCCATCATTGCAACTGACAATCACCCGAACCTATCCAGATCATCTGTGTTAGGCACAGCAGCGTAAACATCGACACTGACTAGGAATCGTTCCACATTGAAGGGGTCTTCCACGATGCAGGTACACAATTAGAAGCACCCGGGTTATCCGCGCCATCTCTGCCGCGTCTCTCTACAAAACCAGTGACGTCATCACACACACTCAACACCTGTTGAGGAAAAAAACGGAAAAATAATTGACAACACAAGAGNGGTCTTCCACGATGCAGGTACACAATTAAGGCACCCGGGTTATCCGCGCCATCTCTGCCGCGTCTCTCTACAAAACCAGTGACGTCATCACACACACTCAACACCTGTTGAGGAAAAAAACGGAAAAATAATTGACAACACAAGAGATGTTTGTCCGTACGCCACGGTTCGATGCCGTCCGCCTGCTCCGGTTCCGCTGCTCCGGTGCCGCTGCTCCGGTGCCGCTGTGGCCAGTCCTAGCACGACCAAACTCGACCCGCTCCGCTTCGTACACGCTCTCGTTGTTGTCCTTCCCAGTCGGTTCCTCGCTTTCTCCCTCGTCGCACTTCGGGTTCTCGGTCTGAAAATTCTCGCGCCGAAGGGTCAACCAGCCCAATCAGCTCGTCACCACCTATCCCCTCCTCCTTTGATGGCAAAACCAGGTTACTGAGACAGTACAGCTCCCTCTAGCAAACCTAGGGCCGTGTACATAGTGCCCGTCCACCTTTCTGGTGACGTCTGCCTCCGCGCACAAGGATGAGATGGCCATTGCTGCCTACACCGACGGCCTGGAGGCCAACGCATCTGCACCTTTGTACCTGACGCACCAGTGCCGACCCAACTCCACCACTACGCACGCATCGCGGCGGCTGCGCCGCAGCAGGAAGGTATCGGTCCCTTGAGGGTGAGTCTAGCCCTGCTCGCTAGAAAGACCCCCCCCCTCTTCCCGCCCCCGGTGTTTGCCATCGGGGTTGGGTTTTCGTC